AGCATCCACACAACAGACCAAGTAACACTGGCCAACAGCTCACTGATGGTGGTCCTTAAGTTCATTATTAAGTGCAATTATAGCTTTGGGATAAAAACTATTCAGAAAACGTGTGGTCCGAGTTTTAATTGTTCTGTATCTTCTGCCAGAAGGCAACAGTTCCTAAAGATTATAAGCAGGATGGGAAGAGTCTCTGAGAATGTTGTGCAACTTCCTCAAACAGCGAGATGCGAAGATGTCATCCAGGGCTGGGAGCTGGAGTCCAATAATATTCTGGGTAGTTTTAATGATTCTCTGTAGAGCTTTTTTGTCCACTACAGAGCTGCTCCCATACCATTAAGAATGCCACATATCAGGACACTCTGCAATGGTGCTGTGGTAGTAAGACAGAAGTAGATACTGAGATAGATTTATCTTTCTGTACAGTGTACGTCTCTCTTCCTCCTGAAGTCAATTATAAGCTCTTTAGTTTTTTGGGTGTTAAGTGTAAATTATTTTCTTTACACCACACTGTCAGCCCTTGTACTTCCTTTCTATAAGCAGATTCATTGTTCTTATTAATAAGCCCCACCACTGTTGTGTCATCCGCAAATTTAATAATTGCGTTGGTATTATACAATATATATCTTACAAACAACACATTTTGCTTTGTTATGTGAGATTCACAGGCAGATAACATTATGTGATTATAAGCTATAGGTTTCTCATCATTTGAGTTGTTTACCTTCATCTGTTTCAAAGCTGCTTCTAAGTACCTACTGAGTGGTTCTTCAGTAATGGTACTAAATCACTAAAGGCAGGACAAGAAGCAACAGATGGAAACTAATCAAGGAGAAAAGCAATCTAGAACTAAGGAGAAATTTCCTCACAGTTGAAACAATTAATCAGTGGAACAACATGCCTCCAGAAGTTGTAGATGCTCCAACACTGGAAGTTTTAAAGAAGAGATTGGATAACCATTTGGCTGACATGGTATAGGGCAGGAGTGTCAAACTTGTGTCGCCATGGCGACATCATATGACATATCGGGACTTTTTCCTCCTTCGCTAAACTGGGCAGGAGAGGGAGCAGCACATGATGCATCCAACCTGCAGGCCTTGAGTTTGACACCCATGGTATAGGGTTTCCTGCCTGAGCAGGAGGTTGGACTAGAACAGAGGTCTCCAACCTTTTGGACCTCAGGGACCACCAAACTCATAATTTTAAATCCTGTGGACCACTAATGTGAATTTTGACTGATGGTGGCTTGCTGACGTTTTCCCACGGTCTCTGCAGAAAGCAGTAGAGACCCTGGGAATATCCCAAAAAATGTCTGCAGGAAGATTCCCCACCCCGTTTTCTAACTGATCGATCATTCTTTATTTGGGATCGCAGTATACCATCTCCAGATCCATTCTCAAGGGGAGACAGAGAGAGAGAGACTTTTGGCTTCATGCAAGGAAAGCAGCAGAAGCAGCAGAAGTCTTTCTTTCTCTCCCCTAAACTCCACATGAAATGAGTCTTTGTGAGACTTGTTGCGCCGGCGCAGCCTCTTGGAGCAGGATGCCATGCAGGGTCCCAAAGACTCATTTCTGGCGGAGTTTGGGGGAGAGAAAGAAAGACTTTTGCTGCTTTCCTTGCATGCAGCCAAAAGCAGAAGAAAGAAGAGGAAAGAAGCAGCCCGGTGGCCAGGCGAGGCATGTGGGGTCCCCCCCCCTTTCCCCCCTTCCCTCACTACCTCGTGTTGTTCGCAATGCAAGCCTTGTGTTCCCGTGGGCCATGTGGACAGCGCAACTTTGTGTTCCTGCGCAGCCTGGATTAATTGCTTTGGGGAGGTGCTTTGGGGGTGACATTTCTCTGCGGACCACCAAAATTTTCTCACAGACCACCAGTGATCCCTGGCCCACTGGTTGGCGACCACTGGACTAGAATACCTGCAAGGCCCCTTCCAACCGTGTTATTCTGTGATCCATGTATGGAGATGACACAGAACCCTAAAGTTCAAACAACTCTTAAATTACCTAGGCACTTACGGCTTTCAGTTGGATGTTAAAAGCCTAGATCAGCAGTTTTGTTTGTATTCAGATAATAAAGATAGAATTGTGCACCACCTTCATAGCCTTCAAAGGTTCGAACAAAACAATCCTGTCAAGTTTTTTAGATATTATAGAGCTCTTTCCCTTATTTTTAAGAGGAAAGTGAAACAGATAGGAAGCATCAGAAAATACCTCTGCACATGTAAAGTGCCTAGCATTGCAGGTCTAAGAAGACATGGTGTTGGGAAGCATGTGGAAATTTTAAATGAAGCAAACTGGGTCCTTCACTTTACTACAGGGCTGTCAAACTCCCGGCCTGCAGGCAGAATGCATCACGTGCTGGCCACGCCCATGCCTGGTTTAGCAAAGGGGGGGAAAGTCCCATAACACTGCCATGACGCCATGAGTTTGACACCCCTGCTTTACTACGAGGGGCCATGTACTGAAGCAATTTCATGGGGATTTTCCATTCAGAGATATCAATTGCCAGTGTCAGAAATGATAAAGAGGATTTGGCATGGCTTCATGGAGTGCCTCACTGCGGTGGCACCAAGCCACATTGCATAGTCTATCTCACAAGTGAAGACTACATCCTACAATGTCAGGTGACAAGGAATTACCTTAAATAAGTGTCCTGGAAACCCAGTCTAGTTCTAGATCAGGAGTCTCCAACAGTGGTGGGATTCAAAAAATTTTTACTACCGGTTCTGTCGGAGTGCCTTGGTGGGCGTGGCTGGGGAAGGATACTGCAAAATCCCCATTCCCTCCCCACCCCACTAACCTGCTTTCCAGCTCCGTTCTCCTGTGCAAGGCAACAAAAGGAGACTCAGCTGGGACTCGGGAGGCAGAGAATAGATGGGGACAGGGCCAGTTAGAGGTGGTATTTGCCGGTTCTCCGAACTACTCAAAATTTCCACTACCGGTTCTCCAGAACTGGTCAGAACCTGCTGAATCTCCAACTGCTCAGAACCCTCTGGTCTCCAACCTTGGCAACTTTAAGCCTGGAGGACTTCAACTCCCAGAATTCCCCAGCCAGTTGGCTGGGGAATTCTGGGAGTTGAAATCCTCCAGGCTTAAAGTTGCCAAGGTTGGAGATCCCTGTCCTAGACGAATGAGAAAAGTGCCATGAGATTGTCATGAATCTGAAAGATACTGAGAAAATAAAAGGAACAATAGAGCTACAGTAAGTGTACTCTTTCTCAAACTCCTTTTGTGTGAGTGCACATAAACACACAGATACACACAGCCCTAGGGATAAAGTATGACAAAATGACACTCTTTTCTATAGATCAGATAATATGACAGATTAAAAAGCTGTATGAAAATATGTCCAACCAATTTAAATTTGGCAAGGCTAATCCTTTATCAAAATTCAGATGCATAAAGGAATAAACCAGGTCTGCATTCTGGCTCTTCTTTGAACCCTTCTTTGAAGTCTATAGTTTCAAGTTTGATTAAAAGTGCATTACAAGGAAACAGATCAACAGCTCCGTTGTGTCTGTGACATTAAAGAGGCTGGACAAATAATAAACATTCCAAATATTCAAGAAGGAGGAGGAGGAGGAGGAGGAGGAGGAGGAGGAGGAAGTTGTTCTGTCTCAAATAGTACATTTTGGGGAGGGGGCAGTGTTACAGCAATGGCTGGCCATTGTATATTGCTGGAATGTCTTTCAAATACCCAGGGAAGCTTATAGCCAGGTGTGTCTGCAGGATGTGCTCAAAACTGTCAAGATGGCAGCCACAATGGTACGATGCGATGGAAGCTCTGTCCCAATAAAGCAGGCAGAGCTTCCATCGTAGCTGCCATTTTGGAATTTCCTGTGTTCCCCCATCCAAATCCTAACCAAGCCTGACCCTGCTTAGCTTCTCAGTCCAGACAAATTTAACCCACTGCACTCCACTAAACCCCCTCCTCAGTTAAAACTTACCTGACATTGAACAAAATGTTTTTCTTAATTTCTTTTCGAAAGCCAAGGTAACCTGTCCTGAATTTCACAAAATAGGAAACATTGTAAAAGGTCATGATACTTCCTTCTCCTAAATTCATCTTGCTTGAGAAAGTAACTTTTCTCTTTGATACGTCCAGCATACTTTTGTCAGTATCTTGAAAAAAGAAAAACAGAAGAAATGATTGGAAACATCATGGCAGAGCTGAAGAAAGCAAGTTGGCAGAAATAATAATTGGCTACCGGATATACACTATGGAATAATACACATCTCGTGCTAAAATAAGGTTGAATGAACCATGGTTTACCATCATATTCTAAAAAGGGTTAGATTTTTGTACCGTGGTAACATATTGTCTTTGACAAATGGCCTCCAATGAAACTCTTAATGCAATATTTTACATTTTTTAAAAAGAAAATATAATATTTGCTCAAAATTGGAAAAGTGAAAAGATTCCAATAGAAGAGGATGTGATCAGGAAAATATTAGAGTGTGCAGAAATGAACAGATTAACATTGGCAATCAAAGAAAAAAAAGCAAACTGACTATTATATGATACATAATATTTTATCAATGGTTGGAAAATAAAACTGGAACCTAGAAATTAAATATAAGAATGCAGAGAAGGAGCTAAAAAGAGGATGGTTATAAGGATAAGATGTGTTAGCAGGCTAAAATAAGAATGTAATTATTGTTGTTATGGTAAGGAATTTGTGTTAATTAGAAATATTGCTGCACATCATAATACACATTCTAACATATAATATCAGAGATAAATACAATTGAACGAGTATTTTACCAGGAGAAAACTACATTCCTCTGTTCGCAACAGAATACCCTACACCACCAGACTTGAGATTCTAGGCTTAGACAACCTTGAACTACGCTGACTAAAATTGGACTTAAGCATAGTACATAAAATCATATGTTACTACATCTTAGCAGTAAATGAATATTTCAGCTTTAACCACAACAACACAAGAGCACACAACAGATATAAACTAAATGTAAACCACTCCAAACTTGATTGCAGGAAGCACGATTTCGGCAACAGAGTGGTCAATGTCTGGAACTCACTACGATTCTGTTGTCACCTGCTCAAACCCCCACTCCTTTACCCTCAAACTAACCTCTGTTGACCTCACCCCATTCCTAAGAGGTCTGTAAGGGGCATGCATAAGTGCACAATCGTGCCTACCGTCCCTGTCCTATTGTCCCCAATTATTGGTTCCTATTTCAACTTATTTCCTATTTCAACTTATGTTTATTTTTGTTTCTGTTGTATTGTAAGCTTTTGACAAATAAATACATAAATAAATAAATAATAAAATAAATAATAGTTGCAAGAATAACTTATGCCCGAAGTTGGAAATTAGATAGCATTCCCACAGACAGTATGATCATAAAGAAAATTATGGATTGTACAGAAATGGTAAAATTCACATTGGAATTACAAGAGAGGGAAGAGAAGGGATATTATACAATCTGGAAAAAATGGTATAATTGGTTGGATGATAGGACAGTAAGAACAAAAAAATAATATAAACAAATAAATGTAGATAGAAGATAGATAGATAGATAGATAGATAGATAGATAGATAGATAGATGATAGATAGATGAAAGAGAGAGAGAGAGAGAGACAGACAGACAGACAGAGATGGATGAAGAGAGAGAGAGAGAACAAACACTGGGAAAGTAGATGTCACAACATTGTAAAGATCATATTTGTATTGTTTTGTTGTTGTGTTGTTTTGCATTTATGTTGTTTTTAATTGTGTAAAATTCAATAAAAAATTATTTTTTTAAAAAAGAAATATTGTTGCACAAGATATTTATACCCAGATGACACACTGTTTAAATGAAAGATAGAATGTTTGTAAAATAAAATAAATTTTTTTTAACAATAATAAAAAAGAAAATATAATAAAAGTGCTTGTGGGAGGCTGTATGTGGCTAACCGCCCATCCATACCATAAAAACAAACAAACCATAATTTGTAAACCACTGCACATCAAATCAAACCTTTATGGGTCATTTCAGTTCCGAATGACATCCTTATGTTTTCAAGAACTTGGATATTTCTTTTATAATTCCGTAGCACCTCAACTTATGCAGGGGTGACATGGGAGTGGCCAGGGAATTAGATGATCAAGAACAAGCACAACAGGAGTTTTTGAAATATTCAGGAAGCCTTTGTAGACTTACCAAATATTTATTTATATTTCTGTACAGGCAGTCCTTAACTTACAACAGTTCATTTAATGATCGTTCGAAGTTTCAATGGCTCTGGAAAAAAGTATCTTATGATCATTTTTTACACTTATGACTGTCGTAGGAGCCCCGTGGTCACGTGATCAAAATTCAGGCTTTTGGCAACTGACTCATATTTATGACAGTTGCAGTGTCCCGGGGTCTGTAATTCCCTTTTGCGGCCTTTTGACAAGCCAAGTCAATGGAGAAGCTAGATTTGCTAAACGAACACGTGACTCAACTTAACAACTGCAGTGGTTCTTCTTAAGAACCATGACAAGAAAGGTCATAAAATGGGGCAAAGCTCACTTAGCAAGTGTCTCACTTGGTGTCAGAAATTTTGGGCTCAATTGTGGTCGTAACTTGAGGACCAACTATACCCTTTTGGAACACAGAGGCTTGTGACCATTAGCAAACAAGCAAAAAGCAACAAAATATTCACGCCCCTGTTAAAGAATGGCTCTTCCTGAAGGTGAGCTCATTACTAAAATATCACACCCTTTGCCCTTCTGTCCCTAACCGATAAGGCTGGTAATTAAGTATGCAGAATTGTCCAGCTAATTAATCAGCAACAGAAAAGGGGAGGAAACCCTGACTCGACTCCTGGCCTGATAGAGTTCCTTGATAAGACTATCATGTAGCCTTCCAGGAATTTTAGCTCAAGGATGTGAAGCTCAAGAATGAGAGGCCCAAAGAGAGAACATCTAAGAACAGATGTTTCAACTCCTACTCTCAAAACAACACTACAGAGCACTGCACACCAGAACAACTAGACACAAAAACAGTTTTTTCCCAAACGCCATCACTCTGCTAAACAAATAATTCCCTCAACACTGTCCAACTATTTACAAAGTCTGCATTACTATTACTATTAATCTTTCCATCACTTCTTATCACCCATCCCCTCCCACTTGCAACTGTTTGACTGTAACTTTGTGGCTTGCATCCTTATGATTTATATTGACTGTTTCCTGCTATGATTTAATTGCTTATTGTACCCTATGACTATTATTAAATATTGGACCTTATGATTCTTGACAAATGTATCTTTTCTTTTATGTACACTGAGAGCATTTGCACCAAGACAAATTTGGATAGAAGCATTCCTGGATAGAATATTCCTGGATAGAATATATGGATATTCCTGGATAGAAGCATTCCTGGCAAACAGACAACAAATGGTCAAAATTGGGAGCGTCCTATCAAATTCTGTACCTGTCAATAGTGGTGTCCCCCAAGGCAGTGTTCTAGGACCAACTCTCTTCATACTCTACATAAATGACCTCTGTGATCATATTAAGAGCAATTGCATTCTTTTCACTGATGATGTAAAGCTGTTCAATACCACAGACAATACTGCTACCCTACAAAAAGATCTTGACTATGTATCAGAATGGTCAAACAAATGGCAACTTCAAATCTCAACAAATAAATGCTCTGTCTTACATATTGGCAAAAAAAATCAGAAAATAAAATACAAGCTGAATAGTCAAGATCTTGTTGATGACCCAAGCTCTGTAAAGGACCTTGGAATACTCACCTCTAATGATCTAAGTGCTAGAGCCCACTGCAACTACATAGCCAAAAAGGCATTAAGAGTTGTTAACCTAATCCCACGTAGCTTTTTCTCTGGTAATATCACACTACTAACCAGAGCATACAAAACATTTGCTAGACCAATACTCGAATACAGTTCATCAGTCTGGAACCCACATTACGTATCTGATATTAGCACAATTGAGAAAGTCCAGAAATATTTCACAAGAAGAGTTCTCCACTCCTCTACTCGTTGTAGAATACCTTATGCCACCAGACATGAAATTCTAGAACTAGAAAACCTTGAATTACGCCATCTTCGGTCTGATTTAAGCATGGTATATAAAATCATACATTGCAATGTCCTACCTGTCAATGAATACTTCAGCTTCAACCATAACAACACAAGAGCACACAATAGATACAAACTCAAAGTTAACCGCACCAAACTTGATTGCAGGAAATACGACTTCAGCAATAGAGTGGTCAATGTCTGGAATACTCTACCCGACTCTGTAGTTTCTTCCCCAAACCCCAAAAACTTTAACCTTAGACTGTCTACTATTGACCTCACCCCTTTCCTAAGAGGTCTGTAAGGGGCGTGCATAAGCGCACCAACGTGCCTACCGTCCCTGTCCTATTG